GCAGAAGATTAGCGATTATACTTCAAAATACTGGCGTTTCAAATTTTTAGTTTGTTTTTCTTCAGGACACAATGTGCTGCATTCACTCCAAAACATTCTGTATTGTCCTTTGGTAACAGTCTGTGTTGCCTTGATGGTGGTTCATTATTACTGACTGGGCCAGTGGGGTCAGTGCCCAGGGGCCTCTGACTGCCAGAAGCCTGGGTGGGCCTCAGACCACCAGCTCAAAAACTAGGGACAGTCCATTGCAGATCCATCAAATTAGAATAGCCCTTTTATGTGTTGACTAAATAAATGCCCACACCCTGCCGCTATATATTTAATATATGTTATTTATAACTATATATATTCGTGCAGAAATGTAACTGCGGGAAATAATAGACTACTGCACATTATTTGAGAATTAATCATTTTGGTTTCTAGATCACATTTTTTCCAGCACTGTTCAAAGTGCACATAAACAAGCATGAATGGTTTATTAAAGGACCCATATCCAGTACTTTTCTTATTTAACTTCATATTTAATATTTTCCCTTGTGGTCCACTTATGATGTTTGTGTGTGTACCAAAAACAGGTAAAATTCATTTGACCATGACCATTTTCTAACCTCTCTTTATCCCTGATAATTCGTTTTTTGAAACTGTGCCTTGGAAATAGAACTATGCAAATTACATCTGTTCTCATTGGCCACATCTATTAATGCTCATTGAAAAGGCACCCCAGGCTGAAACACTCAAGACACTGAAAAATTTCAGTGAGAATGGGCGGGGCTAAACTGCTGTACATTAAACAGGCAGATATATGCAAATGCAGAGGTTTTCCTGACATCACTAAAACAGGAAATTCAAAACAAGCTTTTTTAAAAACTTAGTTTCAATATATGGACTGCATGGACTGGGAGTGAATGGTGTGTTTTGAAACTTTAACAGTGTTTACATACTACATCAAACTCTTTTAGTGAGGAAATCCATATTTCCATGACATGGGCTCGTTAAAATGATTTTGCAGGTCTATTTCTTTCATAATTTTTGTGTTACGGTCAGAGTGTGGGGGCAACACACTCCAAACACACTTGTGCTCAGGGTCCTTCTGAGACTATGGTCTGTTCCAGGAAGGAACAGACTGCCTTTAACATGTCCTCCACACTTGAACTTCTCCATATGTTGGTAAATGCTAGTTGTAGTTTCCTCTGATCTTTGCTTCTCAGCTCTGTATACACATACCTCTATGTTTTAACCTGCTGTGTTCTGGATTTATTCATTTTGTTAAAGATGAGTGGTTTACATCTTTATCTTATATAACTTCTTGTATAATCATCTGTTCTTTTTTTTATCTGTTTTTCTTTTTTTTTCAGCTTATCCTATAAAAGAGAATCTACTTCTTTGTTTTATATAACGCATATACAGGGACATTGACAGATGATTGTGTCTGTTGTTCTTTGTGATTGAATGGTGATGGCAATCTTACATTGAATTTATCACCTGTTTGTTCATCTGTAACTGATTTCAAATGTTTTAAAATGTTTGTCCTTTCTTTTTAGATTGTTCTCCAAGGAATGGAAACTGTGGACAAGGACTCGGAACACCTAATCTACTTTTTTAGTAGTTAAACTACCAACTGTAGAACTGCTTAATTTAGTTATGAACATGACAGGCGCTGATAACGAAACAGCTTAAGGCAATTGCAGATAGCAACAGTCGCTAAGCAGTGATGGCCTAGAGCATAATGATTTGATTGGCAGAAAAACAAATCAAATGTCACTATCTTTAAAAATGTGGCTAAATAAATATTCTTTCCCTGTTTGATTGGGTAGACCTATATTGCCTACGACCCGAGTGGCTACCATATTATCATATGGGCACTGTTTCCACATCAAAAATCATGAATGGAGATACATGAGTAAACCCTTGTAAAACTACCGAGGTGCGGACCTCATAGCTAGGTACGATCATGTATGGGACCTTGTCTTTAAGCCGTCATCTGAAGGACTATGAAATGGCATAAAGTAATTAATTCTGAGGACTAACTCAGACTATATTTTATAGATTTCTACTAGAATTCTAAATTAGTTCATATTGTCGTAGGGGTGGGCAATACGGCAATATGTTATTACTATAATAATAAACTATGCCACAATATGCTTTTCTGAGCATATTGTGGACATCATCAGAACTTAAAGCACACTGAGTACATGTTTCACCACAAAGTAAACAAATAGACCTGTTTACCTGGTTTTAGCACAGTGTAGTTTATAAGACATCAAATTGAAATCTGTTCTTCAGCTGGTGTTTGAGAGCCCCTGCTGGACTTCAACACACAACACATCTTGATCTTTAATGATCCCTTCCTAAGTTGAAGTGGGTGTGCTAGAGCAGGAAAACACCAAAATGAGCAGGACAAGGGGACCAGGGTGGGGAACCTACGCATTAATTAGCTGATTAGCTGGATCAAGTGTGTTGGATACAGGGCGGTGGGGCTCACCAGGACCTGGGGTGGGAAACATTGCTTTAACAGACTGAGTGTGGGGGAATCACTGGAAATTAAAGTTTTTTTTTGCTGAAAAATCATTCAGACCTCAAATACAAAGCTGATGTTACTGGTTCAGTCTTCATTTAAAGATAGATGATTAATTATAATGTATCCCGGTTGTTTTGCTGTCAGTGAAAATGAATGGGTTCACAACAAGCACTGGTGGTTTGGCCTAATGAAGTATATTAACGATGTATATCATTCAAACATCTATTTTGAATCTATTGTCCATTTTTTGTATCTAGCAGGCGTGATTTTCATAAAATACATAAAACTGTGAAAAAGAAGGTGAAAAATCTAATCTATTTTCAAATAAACATGACTTTTTTAGTGATTTCTGAATCCTGGTCACTATTCTGTAATGGCAGCAATAGATTATCACCATTACATCAGCCTGTATTTATTATAGCCTATGCATCTATTTCTTCATTTAAGTCCTAAATGTGTATCTCCTTGTTCTGTGACGCCTGTGGTATGTTGCTCTATTCTTCTTTTGTTTTCTGAATTTCATGGTGTTTGAATGGTGGTTTTTCCTGATTGACGACCAGTAGACAGTTAAGATAAACTCTGTCCAACCCACATGAAAAAAATACAGAGCCACTCAAAACAAAATAACTGAGAAATTATGGAGGGACTGCAGAGGCAAAAGTAAATATCAACAAAATAAAGCAAAAAAATAAAGCAAAAATAGAATCAGATGACTAGAAAGATCGATGAACGGACTAAATGTCTTCTGAAGATCTGAACTATAGCCCAGTCAGTTTTCTGTGTTTTTTCTGCTGCTATTTAATGAAGTCTGTGATACCATATATCGAATAAATTGTCCAGGGCCTTTGGAAGACAAAAAGCCCCACAACATCACAGATCCACCACCATACTACCCAGTTGGGGTGGGATGGTCACATCTGACCATAGAACACAGTCCCACTGAAAGTTCCAGTAATGTTTGGCAAACTGTAGGTGCTTGATTTTGTTGGTACTTGGCTGTCTTCTGGCAACCCTGCCGAACAATCTGTGGTTATATAGGTGATGTTGGATTGAGGTTTGGGAGACGCTACGACCCAAAGAAATAACTAATATCTGCGATTCCCCAGCTGTGATCCTTGTGGCTATCCTCCTCACTGTGAATAGGGTCAGTATAGACATGCGTCCTCTTCCTGGCAGATTCTTAACATCTCCAGTTGTTTTAAACTTCTTAATTATTGTCCTGATAGTGAAAATGTTTCAATATTTTCTTGTAGCCGTCTTATAGTCATTGCTGACCATTTAATGTTCCTAATCACTCAGGTGAACTTTAACATAAAATATGAAAGGGAAAATTCTTCAGTTAGTTTTACACTTTTAGGAATCCCTACAATTGTAGCACCCATAGATTTAAAAAATATACTTATTTTATGACAATATTTCATTTTTTCTTTCAATCACTGTACCTTAAATAATATTTTGAAAGAAAGATCAAAAGGAGAAGTAACTAAGAATATTTTTACACCGCATTTTGCTCATGACAGTAGCTTATACTTTGCTGCACAGTTAGTGTTAGTGATTCTCTACTCCTTCATCAGTGGTCACAGGATGCTGATGGATGGATATTTTTGGTTGGTGGACTATTCTCAGTCCAGCAGTGATACTGAGGTGTTTAAAAACTCCAGCAGCACTACTGTGTCTGATCCACTCAGACGAACACACGCTAACACACACATACCACGTCAGTGTTAGTGTGCTGAGAATGACCCATCACCCAAATAATACTTGCTCTGTGGTGGTCCTGTGGGGGTCCTGACAACTGAAGAACAGGGTAGAAGGGGCTGAAAAATTATACAGAAACACAGATGGACTATAATCTGTAATTGTAGAAGTACGACATGCACCTATATAGTAAGTGGAGCTGAAAGAGGACGTTTACAAATTAGCCACTTTAGTACACTACCTTCTTGTATCTAAAGTCATTGTTCATTTTATACGGCACACACAAACACACACACACACACACATATAATGCACTTTGTTGCATCCCATGATTATGATTATTCTCACTGTTTTGAGACACAAGTTATGTGTGTACGTATTCAAATACTGAGAATCTTTAAAACAAATTTAGAATTATATTAAATTACCTTTTATAATTGATGCACATGTGTGTTGAAAGTCAGGAAGCCATGCTTCACACTGTTTAAAAAAGCTGTTACATTTGCTTCGTATAATCTAATGTGTGATGCAGAGTGTGTTCTGGGTCATACAGTGTGTGATACTGTGAGATAGTGAGCCATTTTGTCGTGGAGAAATACTTTTTCTAAGTCAGTTGACTGAGACAAAAACGCGTCTAAGCCAAAAGTGAACTGTGATACATGAGTAGAACATTAAACCCTAATCTTATTTCACAGTAACTGTTTTCGGTTTCCGGAAAGTTTCCACACCGCGTGATCAGCAACTGAAACTGAGAGCCGCGTCGCTCCTCACTGCACTGATTTTGGAGATCATGCGACTCTTCAGTAGAACTGAAGTCCGGCTGTTGTGGGAAACTGGTTCGTCTCTGCCAACTCAGGTTTGAACATACAAAATAATCAGTTAATGCGAATCTACTCGGCATCTTCTCGCTCAGATGTAGCTTAAATGAAAGCAGTTCGCTTCTCTTATCTAACATGCTGCGTGATCTTGAAGAGAACTGAAAGCAGAACACTGAACTGAACACAGTCGACAGTTCTGTCTGGGAATCGCTTCAGGAGCAACAAAAGGACCTTTTATATTAAAAAGGAAAAAGGACAGTTTGGAGTTTTTTTTACAACGGCTGAACTAAACGCAGCGGCTGAGTCGCTCATCCTCATCACTGAGTTCTTCAAGAAAGTAAGAGCTTTTAACCTTCAAATAAACAGTAGATCTTCAGTGAATATGGCTTATTTATCATTCTAATGTAATCTTGTCTTTTATGTTAGGAGGAGGACTAAGTAATCCAAAAAATGCTTATTTGTATGTGAATATTTGAAAGGTTTTCAGATGCAGATGAGATATGGAAAGTAAAAAACCCCTCTGGATTCCCCTAGTGAACATAACAGGGTCGTCACCTCAGCTGAGGTGTAGAGTTTAATATGTTACTAGTTTAATCCTGAGCGAGTCGCGTCTCTTAAACTCAGCTGTTATCAAAGCTGCGGTTTAAAGTGAATTTTAAACCAAACGCGGTTGCTGTCATTTGGAATCACATCTGCTACTAGATCTCTCTGGACATGAGCTTAAAGGGGAGTTTACACCAATCTGATGTGAATGCGCCGTCATAGAGAAACTTACCAAGTCAGGACTGTCCACAGTGTTGGTAATAGGAACCAGACATCTGAAGAGCCTCTAAAAGCTACATCACAGAAAGTTATTAAACTCTGTTAACTATTACCAGGATTTAACAGTAAAATGCTGTATTCATCACTTTATTGTGAAATCAACTCATCTTAACACATTTACTGTAATAAGATAGCAAAACACTATGAGGCTGATGTTGAGCTTTACCACACAGCATTAGGGGATATTAAAATGCATTCTAATAAAACATTTAAAGTGTTTTTATTATGTTTATTATGGTTTTCTTTATGTTTTACAGACTTTCACATTGGTAAGTTTTACAATATGTAGTACCACAAATATTAGCACACCTGGTAAACATGAGCAAAACAGGCTGTAAAAATCTTCATTGCTTATCCTTTTGATCTTTCATTCTAAATATTAACAAAAATCTAACCTTTACTTGAATTACAATGGTTGAAAACTAAATATTATCAGGAAATAAATATTTTTTCTCAAATCTTTATATGCCACAGTTGTTGGCACCCCTTCATTTAATACTTGTGCAGCCTCATTTTGTAAAGAAAACAGCTCTGAGTCTTCTCCTATAATGCTTAATAAAACTGGAGAACACATAAAGGATCTAAGACCGTTCCTCCATACAGAACCTCTCTAGATCCTTCAGATTCTGAGCTTCACACTGTGGACTCTTCTCTTCAGCTCATCTCACAGCTTTTCTATGAGGTTTAGGTCAGGGGACTGAGGTGGCCATGGCAAAACCTTGATTATGTGGTCAGTGAACCGTTTTTGTGTTGATTTTGAGGCGTGTTTTGGATCATTACTCTGCTGGAAGATCCAAACTATGGCCCAGTTTAAGCCTAATGGCTGAGGCAGTCAGGTTTTGATTTGATTTCTGCTGGTACTTGATGGAGTCTGTGATATCATGTATCCGAATACATTGTCCAAGGCCTTTGGAAGAAAAACATCTCCACAACGTTACATGTTTCACAGTGGGGTTGGGGTACTTTTCTGCATGGCTATTTTGTGTCTATGCCAAACACACCTCTGGTGTTTATTGCCAAAAAGCTCTGTTTTGCTCTCACCTGACCACAGAAAACAGTCCCACTGAAAGTAATGTCTGAAAAACTGTAGGTGCTTAAGTTTGTTAGTCTTTGACATCAAGGGCTTTCTTCTGGCAACCCTGCGAAACAGCTTGAGGTCATGTAGGTGGTGTCCAGTGGCATAACTAGGATAGGCCTCGGTGCAGAAACAATTAATGGGCCTCCTATATGAAAATTACCTTTAATGAATAAAAATAACCATGTAAATCGCTTGTTTATTTGCTATTGTTATGTGTTAAATGAGCTGATGCTTTCAAGGCATGCAATTCCACCGATAGCATCAGATGTTAAATGTTTGTTAGACTATCATATGGTATGAAGCATTATTTACACTGAAATTATTAAGTGACTGAGCTGATTATGGAACTGTCATATTTCATGGATGGCATCACAGTTAGGTAGGCTGTTTGGTGGGGGATACTGGGGACATTTGCAACTCTTTTTGCATTGCTCTCAGTTACTCAGAGACTATTTGGACTAGGCCAACCAAATTTTTAAACTTAAATCTGTCTGCTAATTATGTGTAGCATTTAAAGATAATTACATACATACACTGTACAGACAACGTATAGAGGCACGTAGCTTAATCATTGTGTTCAGGTGTTTCATTTAGTCTTATTGCCCCCAAGTTTTATCAAATCAAGCAGCTAGCCGTGCAGTCTGCCTTTACAAACATTTGTAACAGTATGGGTCATGCTAAACACTTAACTGAATTTAAGCGTGTGACCATTGCAACAAGTCAGTTTGTGAAATTTCTTCCCTCCTAGATATTTCACGATGAACTGTGAATGGTTTTTTTTGAAAAGTAGAAGTGTTTAGGAACAACAGCAGCAGAAGTGTCAGACAATGTAAAGTTGCAGAGCGAGGTTGCAGAGTGCTGAGGCGCATAATGCATAAAAGTCACCAACACTCTGTTGCAAACCTCCTCTGGCAATAACATCAGCACAAAAACTGTGCAGCGGGGACTTCATAGCACGGGTTACTGAAACCAAACAGAATACAGTTTTTACTTTCAGATTTTTTTTATTCACTGTCACAACCCCCGCACCCACACACATACACACATGTGGACAAAATTGTTGGTACCCTTCCATCAGAGAAAAAACCCACAATGGTCACTGAAATAACTTGAAATTGCTAAAAGTAATAATAAATATAAAATTACTGAAAATCAACTAATGAAAATCAGACGTTGCTTTTGAATTGTGCTTCAACAGAATAATTTTAAAAAACACACTAATGAAACTGGCCTGGACAAAAATGATGGTACCCTTAACTTATAAAATACTTAAAAAACTAAACTAAAATATTTTGTTGCACAACCTTTTGAGGCAGTCACTGCAATCAAGTGATTTCTGTAACTCTCAATAAGACTTCTGCACCTGTCCACAGGTATTTTGGCCCACTCCTCGTGAGCAAACTGCTCCAGCTGTCTCAGGTTTGAAGGGTGCCTTCTCCAGACTGCATATTTCAGCTCTTTCCTCAGATATTCAATAGGATTTAGATCAGGGCTCATAGAAGGCCACTTTAGAATAGTCCAATGCTTTGCTCTTAGCCATTCCTGGATGTTTTTAGCTGTGTCTTTTGGGTCATTATCCTGTTGGAGGACCCATGACCTATGACTGAGACCCAGCTTTCTGACACCGGGCAGCACATTTCGCTCCAGAATGCCTTGATAGTCTTGAGATTTCATTGTACCCTTGCACAGATTCAAAACACCCTGTGCCAGATGCAGCAAAGCAGCCCCAATACATGACTGAGCCTCCTCCATGTTTCACAGTAGGTACAATGTTGTTTTCTTTGTATGCTTAATTTTTGCATCTGTGAACATGGAGCTGATGTGACTTGCCAAAAAGCTCAAGTTTTGTCTCAAGCTTGTCAATATGCATTTTGGCAAATTCCAGTATCGCTTTTTTATGATTTGCTTTCAACAGTGGTTTCCTCCTTGGTTGTCTACCATTAAGTCCACTTTGGCTAAAACAGTGATGGATGGTGTGATCTGACACTGATGTACCTTGACCTTGGAGTTCTCTTTCTGGGCTCTTTGGTTACCATTCGTATTATCCATCTCTTCAATTTGTCATCAATTTTCCTCTTGCTGCCACATCCAGGGAGGTTGGCTACAGTCCTGTAGACCTTGATCTTCTGAATAATATTTGCAACTGTAGTAACAGGAACATCAAGCTGCTTGGAGATGGTCTTATAGCCTCTACCTTTAACATGTGTGTCTATCATTTTTGTCCTAGTCTCCTGAGACAACTCTCTCCTTAGCTTTCTGTGGTCCATGTTCAGTGTGGTACACACCATGATACCAAACAGCACAGTGACTACTTTTCACCCTTTAAATTGACAGACTGACTGATTACAAGTTTGATGACACCTGTGGTGCTAATTACAGGACACACCTTAGTTTAACATGTCCCTAGGGTCAAATTATGTTACATCTTTTCCAGGGGTACCATTATTTTTGTCCAGGCCAGTTTCATTAGTATGTTTTTAAAAATGATTCTGTTGAACTACAATTCAAAAGCAGTGTCTGATTTTCATTAGTTGATTTTCAGTAAATTTTTATTTATTATTACTTTTGTCAGTTTCATTTTATTTCAGTGACCTTTGTGGGTTTTTCTTTCTTTAATGGAAGGGTACCAACAAATTTGTCCATGTGTGTATATAAGATAATACTTAAAGTTATTTTGGGAATTATTTTGCTTATCATTAGCCTCTCATGGTTTATCATTAGCTTCTAATTTTGTTTATCATTAACCTCTCAACCGTCCCCATCCTATCACCCATGACTGAACATCATGTGCTAGATAGACACACTGACCCAGACACATGCTAATCATGCGCTTAGAAGTCAACAAAGCAGCAATTCAGACTAAGCAAGTTTTGATTAATTCATACAAAAGCTCAGGGCAGTAGGACAAAAATACAGCTCATAACAAAAAATACTTTCATTACTTTCCTGGTGGGGTGAGAGTCTACGTATCATCACTCTAGCACGTTTCTGATTGGAGAAAGAAGCCTTGTTGCAAGCATACCCAGTCTCCCCTATCGCATGATACATAGATGCAGTTTAAACATTTGAAATCAGTTCTGATTGTAAATTTTAAAACATTGTAACAAATACACTACAGTTCTAAAGAAAATGATACATAAAGCTATTTATCAGGGTAAGAAGTATTTTTTTGCTCCAAAAACACTGACATTACAATAAATACCAATAAACAAGCCACTGTGACTGCCATGTGAAGTAAAAGCTCAGTAATGCCTTTAATTGGCATAAGCAGAAACTAGAAAAGTAAGTGTGAATGTACAGAAGGTGCCATATCAGTCAGAGGTGCAACTGTTGGGTACTATTTGTGTAAAATCAGTTGTGAGATCTCTATGCTAGAAAGCAGAACCTGAGCTGTTTTGTAGATAGACACAGAACATGCCAACACTAATGAAATGTGTTAATTAGAGTCTGAAAATCAATAATAATAAATCAATAAAGTGGTGGTGGATTAACCTCTAAAAATCCCAGGCTTATTACATACTAAAGCTTATTATTCAGTAACTACATGGACTTCCATGCAAACTGGTTGAGCTATTCTTAGGTTATAGAAGTGTAATAAACCTTTGGGCCTGTCAGCGGGCCCTGGCCATATATGGGGTTAATTTGACATTTCCTTACAGAGAGAAACAGCCTACATCAGTAGCAGATATCTAGAGTGATCTCATCCATTTTAAGAAGTTGTAACACAAACTGTGATAGTGAGCCAGCTAGTTCTAATACTCGCCTCTGATCTAATACCATTTATTATGCGTAGAAGAAGACTTTAAGAAGACCAATTGTGTGAGAGATTAGAGGGCAGAGTTGGGGGTTTGTTAATGTATGGATGGATGTGGGTTTGCTGTGCTTTAGATCATTTTTAGTACAGCTGGCCTGGACAGTCAACTGACCGACCAGAAAATCTCCTGGTCCCAAATGGTACTCTGAGCCTAGAGGAGACCAACAAAGAATTCCCCAGCTGTGATCCTTAGAGATTCTTTGTCCACTCAAACCATCCTCCTCACTGTGCGTAAGGTTAGTATAGACAAACGTTCTCTTCACAGCAGATTCTTAACATTTGCTCCAGTTGCTTTAGACTCAAGTAATGGCCTAATAGAGGAAATGGGTATTTTTAAAACTAGTTAGTGATTTTCTTGTAGCCTTTTCCTGATTTGTGTAGCTCAACAACCTTTTTCCGCACATCATTGCTGTATTCTGTGGTCTTTCTCACATTGATGGGTGACTAAGAGAATTTGGACATAGTGTGTCACCTCATATTTACCCCCCAGTGAAACAGGAAATCATGGCTGACCATTTAAATTATCCTAATTGCAAATATGAATGGAAATATACTTTAGATTTCACTGGGCTGCCAACAAGTGTGGCACACATCTATTTGAGAAAAAATATTTTTTTATGTTAAGATTTAGGTTTCTTCTTTCAATCTCTGTACTTCACATACAGGTTAGAATTTTGCTTATATTTGATATTTTGAACAAAAGGAGAAGCAAAAAAGATTTTTTACAGCCCATTTTACTCATGTTTACCAGGGGTGTCAATATTTGTGTAGGACACAATATATATACCCTGATAGCAAGAGGATAGTGGTCCACTGGTGGCCCACTGATGGCAAAGCTGGCTCTCCTCTGTGTTTTGCTCAGTGTTTTCTGGGCGGCCCACCGGTGGTTAAGCAGACTATTAGACAAAATTCCACTTATCAACACTCATTTTCCACTCATATCACATCAGTGTATATATATATATATATATATATATATATATATATATATATATAAACACTTAATACATATATAAAGACTTTTAAAACATTTTTATTGCATTGTTTAAATGCTGGTGTTGACAAAAAAGTTATTGTTTATTGGAACTGCCAGATAAAAAGGAACTGTATAGCACAGCATAGGAACTACAAATTACTGGCTACTGAGTTGCTTTAGTTTTACATTTGTTCTGTAAAAGTACAGGAGACAACTGGGTTTTAATTACAGCTTATTACTGTAAGTGTACAGATAAATGCAGCTACATCACAGTAATTTTGTGCTGCAGGTGACTGTGGGGTCACAGTATAAAGTTGTTATTTACTGTTATTTACTGTTAATATTGTACAGTTGATTATTGTGAATCAAACTTAGTAAAAATATGTTTTCAAAGATAAGCTTCTACTGCAGCCTCTACTGTATGGCAAGTATGAGCAATAATGTTTTTCAGTGTCATTGTTGTTTAAGAATAACATTGTTTAAAGTTGTCAGAAGTAACACTTAATACTGTTCATTTTACCAAAAATGACCTCTTAGTATTGTAAATTGTAAAATGATTAGTTCTCTTTTTGCTCCAGGTTGTGCACCTTATACACCCATTCTAGCCCCATTTTAAAGGTTCTCAAATGTTCAGATTTCATAAACAGTGTTAATGGAGACTTGAGGAAGGGAGTGGACTGAAAGTACTCATGATTGCAGGTGTCTAGCTGAAAGAGAAATGATCCAATGTATTTTCATTTTCAACAAAATTTGAAACTAAACCCAGATGCTGCATTACTGAGAGATCACACATCTGTTAGATGTCACTGTATCTGAGTTTTAATTAGATTAAGAGAATTCTATTGATTTTATAAATTACTGCATAATCAAATGGGTAAAATGTAAACAAAGTCATTCAGAGTGGTTTGATGTGAAATGCTCAGTTCTAAAGAAACTTACTGAGTCAGAATTGTTCACAATGCCAGCAGTAGGATCCAGAGTTTAATGCCTAAAAGCCCTACATTATTAACATGATTATAAATACTGTGTCTGAAGCCTGAGATATTGCTTTATGGTAGTTTTGGCATAAACTTTGTTTATATAACAGTGGATATTAAAACTGGGCACCATGATTAGTACATTACTAGAGAAACTGACTATCCCCAAAAGTAGTAAGCAGTATTCAGTATGTCACCAACAAGAATTTCTCCAGTACTCCAAAAGGGATGACACACTGCTCTGGCAAAATATTTGAGTGGCCAGAGCTCCGATGTGCAGATACAACATAAATATAGCATAAAGGCAAATGCACATATGAGATAGACATATGAGATAGCATAGGCAGACATAAAATATACATACAGGAACAAAAAAATGGTCTGTTCTGTGGTGGTGCAGCTGCCATACCAGACTGGGAGACTGCTGGTCAGGATGTTCTCTGTAGTGCCCATGTGCTTCGACAATAATTTCCTTTGTCTTGTTGTCATTCAGTGACCAGTTGTTACTGTCACACTAAATGATGAGTTGGTTCACTTCCTCTCTGAAGGTCGAGTCGTTGTTGTTGCTGATCGTTGTTTGCTGTCTGCGTACTTGATAATGTGGTTCGAGTTGTACTTGGCACAACAGCCATGAGTCCTCAGGGTGAACAACAAAATGAAAATATATTTCAATGAATGAAATCCATTTATTTTGATCCAAAGAGAATTCCATACCAGATCAACTATTTCTTGTTGTGCAACAGGCCAAAACAAATGGACAATAACGCCACAAAACCCATAACTTTATCTGCATGGTTCTTCTCTTCATTTTCTCTTATTTCTTTTCTGTTTTTCATCTCCAGATGCATACGTTGAGCATCTTAGACAACATAATAGCACAGTAATAACCCAGAACTTAGTGGCCCCAATGGTTATGCTGCTTACATCGCTTATTATTTAGAGCCGGCACTATATAATGCAGTGCTTTCAAAGTATTACAAATGTAGGCAGTAAATTACAAATACACACACACTTTGTAGGAACAGATATCGTCACATTCTTATTAGTAGCTGTGCTAAAATGCACAAAACACTCAAAACAATGAAATGTTGGATTTACTTAAAAATGTTATGTCAAGTGGTTCCATGCAATTGTATTAAGAAGCTTTTAAGATGCGTAATTAAGTAATATTCAAAATAATGTAGCTATGTTTTATTAATTAAAGTAGAAAAGGAACAAAGGTAATAGGTTTAAGTTGGAGCTACTCAGCTGTTGTACAGTTACACTCATAGCAGTTATATAAGTTACCTACTTATAGCAGTAGGTTACCTGGTAACTTGTAATTATAGCCAACATTAAGGCAGCTAGTCAGTGAACCATAAGAATAAACACCAGTATAAGAAAATGCACACACAATAGAAGGTAAGCCAAACAACAACATGAAGAGGGTGTATAAAACAAGTAAAACTAGTAAGACAATATGCAATAGGATGCCAGGAGCCAATGGGAAAGATGTTGAGTCTTACAAGATTACATTGACCAAACAAAGACCTATGAAGTAAATCTGACGGCTTAAATTCATCGAAACCACACAACACAACTTAGTTTCACTGACTTACATGCATTTGTTAAGTAATATCAATGACAGATATCACTGAAATACACAAAATATTATGAATGACCTAAACATTGTGTAATAGGGATATGTTAATAAATAAAATTTAACATTATTTTTATGTGGCGGGGTGGGGTGAGGGTGGGGGTGGTGGTGCAGCCAATGAATCCTGGCCCAGGTTTAAGCATTATAATAATAATAATAATAATAATAATAATAATAATAACAGTGACACTGATTAAAACTTCTGATCAAAACTTCACTGATTAAAATGTCATTTTTCTGAGTGAAGCTGTCAAGTGTGGGTGGGGTGAGAGCTGCAGACAGATGGACTCTGAGGATATATAAGCTGATCAACTTTCTAAAATCTTGCTGACAAAACTGCTTTTATTTTCATTATTGTGTTCACAGATACGTGCAATGAGATTCATTTCATTTTGAGACGCTGCTTCTTTTTGCGTCCATCATCACATTTTCTTTTTGTCTCTTTCAGTGTACTTCAGAAAAACAGTTTTCCTTCCCGCGAGAGGGGACTGCCATGCTCTTATATGATTCCTTCATCATAAGTTTAGCATTATTAAAACTCACTGCCATAATGGTCTGCAGAGCGTGTGGTAATGCTGAGTACGAAATTAATGGCGAGTGCTGCCCAACGTGTTCTGCAGGTAAGACATCACATTTTTATTAGATTTAGATTTTTATGATGCTATTTTCATGAAGCTGTAAATAACAATGTGGGAACATTGCAGTGGTTCTGTAACAGCATATACGAGTGAAATATTCACATTTATGTTCGTTGCAATATGTTTATCAAGCATAGTCACTGACTTAGTTGAGAACTGTACATGTTGTAAGCTTGAGAGTGGACTGCTGTGTTTCAGGACACCGTGTATATAAACACTGCTCAGGAGATTCCAGCACAACGTGTGTGCAATGCAGTCAGTCCACATACATTGATTTTCCAAGTGGATTGATAAAGTGCTTCTCCTGCACTGTGTGTGATGAAGGTAAAGATTTTATTTCCTGTAACTTTTTTGCTATTAACACTTTGGAAAAACTTCTATGCAAAAAATGTCTTAGCCTTTTTTATTCTTAACCCTTCTATTATCTTCGGGGTTAATTTGACCCTATTCAGTGTTTATCATCTGTAAATAAATGATTGACACTTTTTTGCTTCATATTTAATGACTTTTCCTAATTTGATGGGGACAAATGAGTAAACATACAATTAACATGATGTTTTCCGTGTCTTGTACACATTTTGTACACATCAGTGTTGAACCCAGGCTGTTTTAGCTGTTTAAAACATGAGAAACATCAACATTTTACACACATTCGTTTTGGTTGTTTTAAGTGACATGCAATTTTATAATCTTCAAAAAACTTCCCTCTGCTTTAGGACTCTAGCCTAACATAACCAAACCTGTAGTGCAAGAGCCAAGATAGTTCCCATGACAGGAGGGGAAAACGGAATTCCCCCAGAGCTCTGATATTTTCCAGTGGTTTTAATTGCTGGGGTCAAACTGGATAGCGGGAGGGTTAAATAAATGATTAAATATTGTTTTACTCTTAAATAGTGTGCATTCCTTTATACTGTCAGTGTTACAGGAGCCACACCTGTATGTACCTTTAAAAGATCTATAAAGTTTTTTGTTTTTTTTGTTGTTTGTTTTTGAAATCTATTTTGAAATTTATTTCATAGGAACCCTCTCAAAAGTTAGGATGGGAGTTCAGCTTATGGAGCTGAAAAACATATAAACGGTTTACCTATGAGCTGTTTTTAGGGGTTCATTTAAAAGAACATACCTGCTTATTTATTTATTCTTTATATTCATTTTCTTTCTTCAGGTATTGGATTAAGAACAAAACAAGAATGTCAGTCATCTGCAGACGCTCTGTGTGAGCCTCTGTCGGGGTATTACTGTATAGAAACACACGGCAAGAACTGCAGAAAAGCAACACCGCACTCCACCTGCCTTCCTGGACAATATATTAACCAAACTGGTCAGTATTGTACAGACTGCTAAAATGAGAGAGAATCTAAACTAACTCTCTTAGTTGAACCCTATAAAAGAATGAAATAACCATATGATATCTACAGGGAGATTCACTCGAAAGAGGCCCCGAATATTCTGTAGTAACTCTCGCTAGGACAAAGCAATCTGAACGAAACAATGTGCAATGTGCTCCTCAGTATATGGAGCTTTGAACAAGCCAGGATGCCCCTGCATCAGAGCGATGAGGTAGGTGCCGGACAGCCGTAGCAGCGTTTAACCTTCGTTTGCAATTTCCAGGTGCAGACCCCCGTACCCCTTCATGTGTCTGGCAGAAAATGTAGATCACTTCCAGCATCTTTCCATGTAATGAAATCGATTACACATACGTCAAGGTATGTAGTGGATATTTTTGGTTCAGATTGCTTCATCCTAACAGCAGTTACAACAGAATATTCGGGGCCTCTTTCGAGTGAATCTCCCTGTATATTCAGTGGTTAAAACCTAAACAGTTAGTCTCTTATACAGTTATTTTTTTTTTTTTTTATTTTGGGATGTCTCTGTTCACTAGTATTTTCAGTGTCACTTATATTCTAGCTGTTTAGTGTTTGCAGTTAAATAACTGTGCTACATAATCTGGTGTAGGTCATGTGATTGATAGATCCAGATCCAGTCATATTATTAACTTCTCTGCATGCATGTTTATTACATTTTACAGGTACAGCTTTTACTGATACTGTATGTAGAGACTGCTCAGAAGGTTCATATTCAGACGGCTATTTCACATTCTGTAAACCACATAGACAGTGAGTATGATCTGTGACTTATCATCTGCGTCCAGTAGGCTTGTTCGTTTGCATCTGAACGTAATGTGTTCTCCTCCTGCTCTTCACAGGTGTGAGTCTATGGGGCAGATAACAACCACACTGGGAACAAAGTCAACAGATTCTGAATGTACAGATAAACGTTCTCATTTTCTCTCCTTAGTCGCCTTTTCTTTACCTGTGTTAGTAACGTTAGGGTTGGCATTATGGAGATATATATATGTGTATATAGGAAGAAAAAGAATAGAGAGGCAAGAAAATGAAGCTGATTTACCATCAACCCCAGCACAGAGTGACAAAGACCATCATTTATGATCTTTTTTCTATAATTTGTCTTTGGTGTTTGTTGCTTTCACTTATTTGTGTTTTATTAAGAGTTCTTATGCACAAGAAAACTTTAATAAATATTGTACGTATTTTTTTCAGTTCATTGTGTCTGTCTCTTTTTTTAGGCACAGTAACAATGTCACTACTTTTGTTTGCAGTGATTTGTGGATTGTAGTTCTACACTACACAAAAAACTGGTAGAACATGTGGTTGGAGTGCGTCATTAGATAACACCTTGTGCTTGAGGAAGTTGGATGCCATTCCCTCAGGTTTAAAGCTAAATAAAGCATCAGTGACTCAGCATTCCAGCAAAACTGATCAGCCTTGCTTGCTTGAATGTGTCTTTTTTGCAAATTTCAGTGCACAGTTTCCATTTATTTGCTGCGTTTAACATGTTGGAAAAATTGTGGCATGACTTTTTAACAACCTATATTTTGTGTGTTCCCCCAGAATATTAAATTCATCAAATAAACAACTGTTCATTTGTGCAGAATATGTGGTCTCTATGCGTTAACTTATTTTCACTTGGACAATAAACAAACATGCAATCTTACTACATTTGCATGCTTCCATGACCTGCAAGCTGTTAGAAACATATTCTCCAGAAACTGGCCTACAATCTTAATTAATCGTAATAAAACAAATTTGTAGCAATCAAAACAATCTAGTCCTTGATTTTAGTCCTTGAAATGGAAAAGTGCCCTGTGGTCTGACAAATCAACATTTTTCAAATTGTTTTGGAAATCATGGACACTGTGTCCTCCGGGCTAAAGACCACTCAGCTTGTTATAGGTGCACAGTTCAAAAGCCAGTATTCATGATGGTATAGGGGGTGCATTAGTTCACATGGCATGGGTGACTGGCACGTCTGTGAAGGCACCATTAATGCTGAACGATGTATGCAGGTTTTGACAACATATTCTACCATCCAGACAAGGACTTTCTCTGGGAAGGCCTTGATTATTTCAGCAAGACAGTGACAAATCATATTCTGCATGTATTACAACAGCATTGCTCCAGTCCAACTGCTTGCAGTCCAGACCTGTCAACCACTGATAACATTTGCCGCATTTTGAAATGAAAAATATGACAAAGGAGACCCGGAACTGCTGAGCAGCTGAAATCCTATATCAAACAATAATGGGAGAACATCAGCAGTTGGTCTCCTCAGTTCCCAAACGCTTACAGAGTGTTGTTAAAAGAAGAGGTGATGAAACACAGTGGTAAACATGCCCCCCGGTCGTGTTGTTGTTGGCATCAAATTCAAAATGGGCATATATTTTTCAAAAACAATAACATTTCTCAGTTTCAACATTTGATTTGTTGTCTTTGTACTATTTTCAATGAAATAAAGGGTTCAAATGATTTGCACATCATTGAATTTTGTTTTTATTTATATTTTGCACAGCGTCTCAACTTTGAGAAATGTTCAAATTTTTGGAAATGGGGTTGTACATGCACATAATCTGATGCATGCATGTTTATTACATTTTACAGGTACAGCTTTTACTGATACTGTATGTAGAGACTGCTCAGAAGGTTCATATTCAGACGGCTATTTCACATTCTGTAAACCACATAGACAGTGAGTATGATCTGTGACTTATCATCTGCGTCCAGTAGGCTTGTTCGTTTGCATCTGAACGTAATGTGTTCTCCTCCTGCTCTTCACAGGTGTGAGTCTATGGGGCAGATAACAACCACACTGGGAACAAAGTCAACAGATTCTGAATGTACAGATAAACGTTCTCATTTTCTCTCCTTAGTCGCCTTTTCTTTACCTGTGTTAGTAACGTTAGGGTTGGCATTATGGAGATATATATATGTGTATATAGGAAGAAAAAGAATAGAGAGGCAAGAAAATGAAGCTGATTTACCATCAACCCCAGCACAGAGTGACAAAGACCATCATTTATGATCTTTTTTCTATAATTTGTCTTTGGTGTTTGTTGCTTTCACTCATTTGTGTTTTATTAAGAGTTCTTATGCACAAGAAAACTTTAATAAATATTGTACGTATTTTTTTCAGTTCATTGTGTCTGTCTCTTTTTTTAGGCACAGTAACAATGTCACTACTTTTGTTTGCAGTGATTTGTGGATTGTAGTTCTACACTACACAAAAAACTGGTAGAACATGTGGTTGGAGTGCGTCATTAGATAACACCTTGTGCTTGAGGAAGTTGGATGCCATTCCCTCAGGTTTAAAGCTAAATAAAGCATCAGTGACTCAGCATTCCAGCAAAACTGATCAGCCTTGCTTGCTTGAATGTGTCTTTTTTGCAAATTTCAGTGCACAGTTTCCATTTATTTGCTGCGTTTAACATGTTGGAAAAATTGTGGCATGACTTTTGAACAACCTATATTTTGTGTGTTCCCCCAGAATATTAAATTCATCAAATAAACAACTGTTCATTTGTGCAGAATATGTGGTCTCTATGCGTTAACTTATTTTCACTTGGACAATAAACAAACATGCAATCTTACTACATTTGCATGCTTCCATGACCTGCAAGCTGTTAGAAACATATTCTCCAGAAACTGGCCTACAATCTTAATTAATCGTAATAAAACAAATTTGTAGCAATCAAAACAATCTAGTCCTTGATTTTAGTCCTTGAAATGGAAAAGTGCCCTGTGGTCTGACAAATCAACATTTTTCAAATTGTTTTGGAAATCATGGACACTGTGTCCTCCGGGCTAAAGACCACTCAGCTTGTTATAGGTGCACAGTTCAAAAGCCAGTATTCATGATGGTATAGGGGTGCATTAGTTCACATGGCATGGGTGACTGGCACGTCTGTGAAGGCACCATTAATGCTGAACGATGTATGCAGGTTTTGACAACATATTCTACCATCCAGACAAGGACTTTCTCTGGGAAGGCCTTGATTATTTCAGCAAGACAGTGACAAATCATATTCTGCATGTATTACAACAGCATTGCTCCAGTCCAACTGCTTGCAGTCCAGACCTGTCAACCACTGATAACATTTGCCGCATTTTGAAATGAAAAATATGACAAAGGAGACCCGGAACTGCTGAGCAGCTGAAATCCTATATCAAACAATAATGGGAGAACATCAGCAGTTGGTCTCCTCAGTTCCCAAACGCTTACAGAGTGTTGTTAAAAGAAGAGGTGATGAAACACAGTGGTAAACATGCCCCCCGGTCGTGTTGTTGTTGGCATCAAATTCAAAATGGGCATATATTTTTCAAAAAACAATAACATTTCTCAGTTTCAACATTTGATTTGTTGTCTTTGTACTATTTTCAATGAAATAAAGGGTTCAAATGATTTGCACATCATTGAATTTTGTTTTTATTTATATTTTGCACAGCGTCTCAACTTTGAGAAATGTTCAAATTTTTGGAAATGGGGTTGTACATGCACATAATCTGATGCATGCATGTTTATTACATTTTACAGGTACAGCTTTTACTGATACTGTATGTAGAGACTGCTCAGAAGGTTCATATTCAGACGGCTATTTCACATTCTGTAAACCACATAGACAGTGAGTATGATCTGTGACTTATCATCTGCGTCCAGTAGGCTTGTTCGTTTGCATCTGAACGTAATGTGTTCTCCTCCTGCTCTTCACAGGTGTGAGTCTATGGGGCAGATAACAACCACACTGGGAACAAAGTCAACAGATTCTGAATGTACAGATAAACGTTCTCATTTTCTCTCCTTAGTCGCCTTTTCTTTACCTGTGTTAGTAACGTTAGGGTTGGCATTATGGAGATATATATATGTGTATATAGGAAGAAAAAGAATAGAGAGGCAAGAAAATGAAGCTGATTTACCATCAACCCCAGCACAGAGTGACAAAGACCATCATTTATGATCTTTTTTCTATAATTTGTCTTTGGTGTTTGTTGCTTTCACTTATTTGTGTTTTATTAAGAGTTCTTATGCACAAGAAAACTTTAATAAATATTGTACGTATTTTTTTCAGTTCATTGTGTCTGTCTCTTTTTTTAGGCACAGTAACAATGTCACTACTTTTGTTTGCAGTGATTTGTGGATTGTAGTTCTACACTACACAAAAAACTGGTAGAACATGTGGTTGGAGTGCGTCATTAGATAACACCTTGTGCTTGAGGAAGTTGGATGCCATTCCCTCAGGTTTAAAGCTAAATAAAGCATCAGTGACTCAGCATTCCAGCAAAACTGATCAGCCTTGCTTGCTTGAATGTGTCTTTTTTGCAAATTTCAGTGCACAGTTTCCATTTATTTGCTGCGTTTAACATGTTGGAAAAATTGTGGCATGACTTTTGAACAACCTATATTTTGTGTGTTCCCCCAGAATATTAAATTCATCAAATAAACAACTGTTCATTTGTGCAGAATATGTGGTCTCTATGTGTTAACTTATTTTCACTTGGACAATAAACAAACATGCAATCTTACTACATTTGCATGCTTCCATGACCTGCAAGCTGTTAGAAACATATTCTCCAGAAACTGGCCTACAATCTTAATTAATCTTAATAAAACAAATTTGTAGCAATCAAAACAATCTAGTCCTTGATTTTAGTCCTTGAAATGGAAAAGTGCCCTGTGGTCTGACAAATCAACATTTTTCAAATTGTTTTGGAAATCATGGACACTGTGTCCTCCGGGCTAAAGACCACTCAGCTTGTTATAGGTGCACAGTTCAAAAGCCAGTATTCATGATGGTATAGGGGTGCATTAGTTCACATGGCATGGGTGACTGGCACGTCTGTGAAGGCACCATTAATGCTGAACGATGTATGCAGGTTTTGACAACATATTCTACCATCCAGACAAGGACTTTCTCTGGGAAGGCCTTGATTATTTCAGCAAGACAGTGACAAATCATATTCTGCATGTATTACAACAGCATTGCTCCAGTCCAACTGCTTGCAGTCCAGACCTGTCAACCACTGATAACATTTGCCGCATTTTGAAATGAAAAATATGACAAAGGAGACCCGGAACTGCTGAGCAGCTGAAATCCTATATCAAACAATAATGGGAGAACATCAGCAGTTGGTCTCCTCAGTTCCCAAACGCTTACAGAGTGTTGTTAAAAGAAGAGGTGATGAAACACAGTGGTAAACATGCCCCCCGGTCGTGTTGTTGTTGGCATCAAATTCAAAATGGGCATATATTTTTCAAAAAACAATAACATTTCTCAGTTTCAACATTTGATTTGTTGTCTTTGTACTATTTTCAATGAAATAAAGGGTTCAAATGATTTGCACATCATTGAATTTTGTTTTTATTTATATTTTGCACAGCGTCTCAACTTTGAGAAATGTTCAAATTTTTGGAAATGGGGTTGTACATGCACATAATCTGATAACTGCAGAAAATCAGATTTTGTCAGTAATTTGTTCAATGTGTTTACATGCACTTGGGTAATCAGATAATGAGAGACTCTGGGTCTATATGAATCAGGCCGTAATCAGATTTCTACTTTGCACTTGGCCAATGAACTCACAGAAGAAGACGTGACATAAACGTAATGTAAAACTTACACATCATGTTTTTTAAAACATCCAGTCGCTCTAGCGGAAAATATGAATACACATCTGGAAGATGAAGAATGTTTAAATCCTTCATTTCGTCAAGCATGTAGTTTGCAGCAAATTGCCGGTGTCTGAACAAAACTTGTTTCTTCATTTTTTAATTTTTCAGTTTTTGACATAATTTAAAAATGCCTGTTTCCCTTTACATTGTTTGTAAATTTTATGATGAATGGACAAACAGAAATGGCCCAGAATTACTTGGTTCCTTTAACTTACATTAAAATTAAATCATGTTTTTTCTTTCTCCTGTAAAGTTATCATTTTGGAGACAAGTAGCGAAATGCTACCTGATATTTCTGGGATAGTGGTCCGTTTTTGCACATGAACAGACTGAGAAAACTGAAAGAAATCAGTAAGGGTAGACATGCACTGAAAAACCAGATTACTGAGCTAAAATCCAGCTGTCTTTGTTGGATTTTATAATCAAATTTGGCCTTAAAGGAGCAATTTTTAGCTAAAATTAACTTAATTTGTCAACAGAATGTGAAGAAATAACGATAATAAGTTGTGACATTATGTCAAAGACGTCTATGTATTGTGTTAGAGATATCTACTGAAGTTAGCATGCCAACCAGCTAGTCCTAGCCCGTCCTGTCTTGTAATACCACTTTGTACCTCAAGAGGTGGTAGTGAGTCACTGTAGCGTCGAGTCTACCATCAGTCCAACACGAGAGGATGAAGAAGTAGCACGCCCCCTCCCAAGGGCGAGGCTGAGGGTCCTTGGGAAGTGAAATCAGGACGGGGATGTGAAATTGGGCTTCCAAAATGATAAGAAACCACAAAGTAGCAAAGTGACATACATAGAAGCAAAAGAAGAGTCAACACTGGTGTTGCTTTCTACCACTGGAGACAGCTGTTAATGATTAAAGGGATGAAATTTGATGCTCAGCTTGCAACATTTCTTCTAGACTAGTAAATAAACTGGGGGAGGAGTGAAGAGGGAGCAGGAGGGACTAATTCTGTAGAGTATGAATTCGACAGGTTACGTGATCTTACATATTGCTCCTTTACTTCAATCTAAGAAATCAGAGTAGGCTGTACATGCCCACTTGAAAAATCGAATAACTGCCAAAATCCGATAAAGATTGGATTATTAAGTGCATGTAAACATATTCAATCATACTAAAAAGTAACATGTTAAATTTGCATCTAAGCATCATAAGAGTGCTCTGTCAACCATACAAAAACAGCAGGAATCATTTGGTTTTGTGTAACTGCTTAAGCGCTGTTGGGAGTGAGGAAGTGAGGAGCAGGTCAACATACCAGTTTAATGGGTTGATATGTATGACGTCGTCTTTGGAGATATAACAAACAGAAAAGAGAAAGCACAGTAGCAGACTGCACTGCTGATCACACTCTACTGATTTCCTCTGGAAAAGCTACAACAGTAAGAACTTTCAAACTTGCAAATAACCAATAAGCCTTCAAAATAGTGAATATACTTAGTTTTCTTTTTTATGTAATAATGCTATTTTTTATACTATCACTTTAGATTCTTGCATAATGTATTAAGAATAGATTATGTACTAATGTTATTTTTCATATCATTTTAAGGTCTCACATTTTAAAAACAGTGTAAATGGACAGATAAGGAAGGGAGCAGACAAATTTAGGAGCAGGCTAGAATTCTGGCTGTTTCTGCTGCTTCCAGTTTTTAAAACAGAAAATGTTTTTATGCTTTCAGCGCAGATTTCTACTGAGAGGATGATTCCTAATTGATTACTAACATACCATTCATGATCATAGAGTATGTAATTGTTTGGACAGTTGAAATATTACTAACTGATGTTTTGGCTTTGTAAGAGTGTAACCCTTTTTGTTTATTGGTGATCTCATCAAACACAAAAAAATATGTCTAATTATTTGACTACATACGTGTTGCTCACAAAAGTAAATATATTTCAAATGATTTTGTAACCTTTATTAATTATGTCATATAAGTGTAGGAAAGACAACTCCTACTTTATAACTGCACATTTATAGAAGTGCACATTTACATGCTTTTAAGAAACTTTATGAAAAGCATGGAATTAATGACAAAATTCTTGTGATTGTAGTGAGGGTCTGAATCGGTGCATGCATCATTTTGACATTTTTATATTTACATAACTTTTAAAAAACACAATGTGAACTAAGATTATTTTATTAATTAGGAGGTTAGACTAAGATTTTAGACCAAGACCAAGTAATTGATCATGCTTTGATTTATTTAAAAAAAAAAAATACTGAAGAAATTGCTTCGCTGAAAAATGCTACTGTGCTGTTTGGGAGCTGAAAGGCTGAAAGCACTGACTCTTGTTGAGTTAAAATATCTCACCTGACTCCCTTAAAGCAGTTGGAATTCACTGCATTGTTCTGTTAAAACAACATGTCAAGGTATTTACCAAAGAGGCCAACAGCACTTGGCAAGACACATGTTTTTATCATGTGAACTGTGATGTCATACTGTAAAACCTGCATATATATATATAGTATATAGTATATATATATATATATATATATATATATATATATATATATATATATGCAGGTTTCATATATATAAAAGGCAGACATTTTAAAAAGTACCCAGAGTTTAATAAAAGCTGTATCAGATTAAAACTGATTCCTCACTGCTGTTGTTGGGCAGATTAAACAAAATTGAGTGTTAGAAAGGTTCAAATACACTCTAAACATAAATAACTTTATAGGAATAAAATGTATTTTGATACAATATAGAAATGACTGATTATGAAATTTTCTAAATTTCCAAACATATAGTCCCAAAGTTACTTACATGGGACTGTACAGTCAGAAATTCAGAACACTACATAGTCATTTATTTATTGCTTTACATTAAGAGTTTTATTTCATAATGCTGCATATCCATTTTAAACAAATTTGGATATTATGATTATTTGAAAAGGATAATAGCTGACGTGCCATGGAAAACATTTATTTTTTTAATAAACATGTTACTAATCATGAAACAGCATTGGTATTTCTTATATATGTAAAGACAACTTTCTTGAAAATGGTCTTTAATGCATTTTGCAGTGAAGCTATTTATATACATTGTCTTTTGAAGGTCATTAATAAACAGATGGATTGAATAAATCTAAAACAAATTGCTGCTGTTGGAACTTTGTGTCTCCAAAATGATAACTTTACAGGAGAAGAAATAAACTTACTTTACTTTTGTGTAAGTCCATGGACCCAGTTTTTTTTCCCAAGTAATTTTAGGCCATTTCTTTGGGTCCATTTTTCATTAAATTTACATACAATGTAAAGGGCAACAAGTATTTTTAAATTGTGTGAAAAACTGAAAAGCGTCAAAAATGGACATTTGAGGTTTTGTTCCGACAGCAGAGAAATATAAGAGAAAAATGCATGTCAAGTTTAGTTTTGGTTACTTCCTGTTCTGTGAGTTTTGCAATATTTCAGTAACATCACATTGGTGATCATTGTAAAGTTTGGAGGAGGAGGAATGGTGGGCTGGGGCTGTTTCTGATGGTTTGGACTCTAAAGATCCAGTATGGGAAATCTTAATAATACAGCATGCCATGATATTCCAGATAATTGTGTGCTTCCAAATTTTTTGCCTTTTCCTGTTTTGTCCTGAGCACAAAGTGTGGTCTATATAGACATGGTTTGCATCTGAGTTTGATGTCTATGAAGTTGAGAGGGATACAAACTTTGCACAAAGTCCTGACCTCAACATCATCCAACATCTTTGAGAAGATCTGTAACTATAAACTTTTTAGAAAAGTGGAGGCTGTTACTGCAGCAAAGGGGGGACAAATTCCATACCGCCCACCCCCATCTGTACTTTCTTAAAGTTTATCAATTGCACATCTGTGACTGATGTTTCCTTTTTTACAGCTTCTCCTCCAAAGAACAGAAATGTTATATTAGAGCTCTAAACCTCTGATGCGTCTGTAGAGAAAAGTACAAGTTTCATCAGCAGATCTCCTGAGAGTGAAATGTATTTTTGAGGCTGAGCTACTAATCGCAGAAGTGCCTTCAGAGGGAAGCAAACATCCTGAAAGCTTTAGTAGATGGTCTAAACACAGCAGCAAGAAGAAGTGCTTGGAAGAAACGTCCTTTTTTGCTTTCCTTATTACAAGAAATCCTGACTGGAACAGCACAACCAAGATGATCTGTAGATTGAAGATTTTTGTTTTTGCTGCAGCTCTTTTCTCCCTGAATTTTGAACTCTGTTTTTGCAAGTGTTCCCGGTCTAAATATGAGAACGATGGAGAATGTTGTGCCAAGTGTGAACCTGGTAAGCCAAAATTTGATGCCTACAGGATTTATTGGGAGCTGTGATATGGTAAAAACAAAAGTGTTTACAACTACAGTGTCTAAATCTGTACTCATGAGGGCAAAGCTCCCATGCCGAGATAAGAAATGGCACAAAGGAATTCTAATGACGAGTATAGCTCGAGTATAACTCCAAACACCAGGCAGAAAAAGGCACAATTTCTTTTACAGAATATTAAGGCACTCCAACAGACAAGCGGTGATCTGAGTTGGCCCAGGCAGCAACTGAACAATCAACAAAACCCCACAACTTTTATACTCTTCTCTGGGCAAGGAGGGGTCATGACCTGACTCCTTCTTGCCCCTCTTAAATATTTCAAACCTTTTGATTTGTACACCATTATTTCAAAACGTCATGTGCTTCTCCTTTTCAAAGACATTCTTAATAATATATGGTACAAACAGAGTCTCTCTGCTTGTGTGCCTCTCCAGGCCACAGCCTTTGACAGCACCCGCTTGGCACACACTAATACAATTTATATCATGCTCAGGGTCTCACACACACACACAAACACACACACACACACACACACACACACACACACACACACACACACACACAGCTTCACATATACAGAGAAACCATACAGCATATGATTAGTTATGACTGAAATCATTAATTACTTTAATAAGCCTGAAAAATCTTTCACATTATCAAACAATCTCCCTCACTTCCCTTATAAAGCTTGTGAGGTACAAAGTTTTGTTACAGTGGAGACAACATAGAACACAAAATGCTTTTACAACATAGCATTAAGAGAAAAACATGCATTATCATCTTTATAATTTCTAAACATAATTCTGTCAGCTCATATTTAATGCTTTTTAGGATCCCATGTTCATGAGCACTGCACTGAGAATTCAGGCACTAGCTGTGCTCCGTGTCCTGCATCAACTTTCACAGTTGAACACAACGGACTCACAGAATGCACGAAATGTACAGTGTGTGATCCTGGTAAGTCTGGCTTTATAAGAAATGCATTTTGTATATAAATTTGTATATATTGGTGAATTGAAAATAATTTTACAGCAATATGTTTTAGATTAACAGAGTTGCTTTGTTCACAGGTCAAGGCTTAAGAGTAAAGACTCCCTGCACTCAATCATCAGATACAGTCTGTGAACCACTAGATGGACATTACTGTACTGATGAACAAAACGACGGCTGTGTACGAGCTGTGGAACACAAAAAATGCAGACCTGGACAATATATAAAGCATAAAGGTTAGTGTATAAACCACAAACTGTGCATAAACAACAATTGTTCACTTTTCCCATTAATTAATTTGCACTTTATTCTCTGTGACTGAGCAGAACTTGTATGTTTGCAGGAACATCATCTGAAGATACTGAATGCGATGGATGTAAAGACGGCACCTACTCAGACGGCTCTCTTCAAACTTGTAAGCCACATTCAAAGTAAGTCGAGCGTTATTGAGTGTCATAATGTGTGTTGTGTCAGTATATGCATTTAATGCATATATAGTTTTTTATTTTTCCATTATGTTCATCTCTATTGTTTGCACAAAAATGCCGTATTTATGTGTGCTCTCTGTAGAATGTGTGAACTTATTTTCACTTAGAAAATAAACATGTAATTTGACTAGGAGCTTCCAAGCTTTATATATTTGGGGTATATGCATTTTTTTTTAATTATGCGGAAAGATGTCACATGACTGATGATCTATTTTGTTGCTCTCTGACAGATGTGAAGATGACGGCCGTACAGAAATAAAGCCAGGAACACATTCTTCTGATACCGAATGTAAAAGCAACACTCCAGTTGCTTTAATAGTTGGAGTCACAGTTTCTCTTTTTGTTCTTCTTCTTGTTGTCATTGTTGTTGTGATTGTTGTAATAGTAAGGTACTGCAGAAACAGACGTAAGACTGGTAGTGTTGAAGGTAAGTGTTTCTCATTTATTTAATTGTTAAGTCAAAAACATTCCAAGCATTTGTATGTGATTTTTTCTATTTAGTAATTTGTATTGAATTTGTATTTAAATTTCCATTTCAGCCTCTGTACCTCCGACACAAGTAAGTGTTGTTTTGCTATTATTACTACAAATGTACTGATTACTTCTGTGTTATTTGGGTGTTTGTCTTGGTTTGTTGTGTCTTCTCTTTTATATTTCTCTGATCTTGGAAAAAAAGTGGCCTATAACACATTTTGAAATGAAGCCCTTTATGTATTGTGGTATTGGAGTAGAGTAAGACATGGGAGAGAACATGATTCTGCTGCAAGTAATGCTCTTTTATTGACACCAGCACAAAGCACATAACATACAACCACACCCAGGATGCGGTGGGGGCGGGGTGGTCACCAATAGCCTTAGGCTTCCACCTCATGGTGACCCCACAACCTCACACACAAGCAACCTGCACCCCAGACACAAAATAACACAATATCACATAACAAATCTTCTAACTAACAGACAACAACATAAACAAGTCCCTTTTCCAGAGAGTGTGCACCTCCCATGAGCCTCTTCACATGGCCCTTTGCATGGCCACGCCTCCGAAGAGGCAGCTCGGCCGGTAGCAGGATGATACAATGAAGCACATGATTCAAAAGTAATCTTTAAAATTCAAACTTGAACACTGTTAGTAGTCATACCAAAGGAACAACTCCTAATAAGATGCAAGGCCCTGATTTACTTATTTAAAGGTTTCTATGTATAAAAAAGTAGCAATATCAAAAACAATCAACTATAGAATGTTGCAGCCTACTAATTAGTAAACAGCATGTGCCTTAATAAATATGCATTTTGGGGCATTTTTACCAAAGAGCAAAATACAGGGCAATGTCAATGAAAATAAAAATGTTTAGCACCCACAGAGAAATTTTTTAAGCCTGAAAGGTATTTTGAGAATTTACTGTGTGCTTTGCACCATGGATGCTGTCCTTGTAATTATTTTAGTGTTTTTTTAAGCTAAAAAGAGTATTTTGTATAAAATATGTACAAAAAGTCAATATAGCAGAACAGTTACACAGTGGCTGTCATGTTTTCTGCCGTCACCTGTCCCAATTTTGTTTCGCTTCATGTTTCTGCTTCTTTGGTGACAGAGATTCACCCTTCCTCACTTTTTCTTGTGCTAAATTATAAGTATTTGTCCAAATTTGGGTTCTCAAACTTCTCACAACACACTGTGGTTAGCCAGCACCAGCAGCAACCACTCATTCTTCTTCTTTCTACATCCTCCGACCAGTGCTATAGCACCACCAAATTCAAGCTGCTGCTTTTCAATGTAAAAGCGCAAAAAGCAATCTCTGTTTGCTTTATCTGTTCTGGGCTATTGTAGAAACATGGGGGTGCAACACAGCAGCCTCTGTCAGAAAGGGATCCGTTTCCTATGTAGATAAGAAGGGCTCATTGTAAGCTAACAGAAACATAATGATTCATAGTTATAGGTGATTATACACTAATGAACACATGGTTTTGTATACTATATTCCATTTCTGCTAATAAATCCCCCAAAATCTTACGTACTGCATTCTATGGTCTCTATCAGCTCATACTGAAACAGTTATATAATTGTTATTATTTTACTTAATGTACATTAGTGTTGGTAATACATGTTGCAATGAAACAATGTATGTGTAATGTCTAGTGTTTACTCCAGTACATATCTGAGCTATAACCACATTTTCTCTTTTGTCTTTTTCAGTCTAAAGCAGTGAACATCCTTTTTTGGCAAGAGGTTAAGTGGCACATTCAACAGTACATTACAGCAACCTCTAAAGGTGATGTGGAAAAGATGCCAGAGTAAAGAGTCTGGCAGTAATGGAGAGCACTTCCCAATGTGTTCTGCTGGTAAGACCACACATTCTTATCATATTGTGATTTCATCACACACACACACACACACACACACACACACACACACACACACATATATATATATATATTTGAATCAGCAGCTAGCACACACACAAGTTCAGTGACACCACAAAAATGTATATTATATACAAGTAATACTAAATATAATGTGTTTTTCATGGTGAAATTATCATATGAATATGTTGAATAATATATTATAAAATAGGGAAGCTCACACAAAACTATTTGTCTTTATTATTTGCCATATTAATGAAGAGCTTGGTATCAGAGCTCAATTTTGACAATCATACATTTAGATCTCACACAGTTGGCCAACATACAAAGGATTTCAAGATTTTACACGTTTGTGTATATAGTCCATATTTGTCTGTTTGGTGATATAGGTTGTAGGTCAATTTTTCCAAGGGAAGCAGAGTTGCAGCTTGAGAAAGCCACAGGTGCAGATGTTCTGCCCCTATGCCTAAAAGATACAGGGCGGGGGACGTCTGAAATTGTGTTTGAAAGATATTTTCTACTGTGATGTGAACTCTGTCCCAGAATTTTTTTTTACATTGCAAAAAGGCAAGAAAATGTTTTACATTTAAAGTATATGCTAATCATGATGAGGTTACAAATATTGAGCCGGTCCTCTTCTGAGGGTTGGTTCAAGTCCTTTTCCCAAATTATATTTTTGCAATTTTGACAAAAATAGACTTGCACATCTTTTATTTGTTGTTGACATTTTTTAGCCACGAAACATGTAAGGAATGAAGTGCTTACTTCATTGTGTCCAGTCTGCAAAGGACCATTGTGGCTGCAGGTTTTCATTGTAACAAAGCAGTGGCACACATAATTCTACTTGTTTAATCAGTCAGTCTTGAAATAACTGATCATTTGGATATGTAATTTTAGGGACATTTAGTCCGAAGAAGGCATAAAACAGTGATACTTTAAAAAACAAAGATTCTCAAAGGGTCACTAAGATTTAATGAGATTATATGAAGAATTGTGTTTTATATGACTAGGTACATGAACTAACCAGAAAAAATGGTCAATTTCAGGTTGGGCAAATGTCTTTACTGATAATCAGATTTGTATAAAAACACATTGTAAATTGTAAATGAGGACATACAAGCTAATTTGCCGTGATTATCACTAACATTTACTATAGGTCATGCAAATGGTAGATCAAGCCATGTAACACACTTCCCTGCATGTGTCAATTCAGAAGATACACAATCAAGTCTTATCATGTGTATCTGGTGGGCTTGTTCTTTCGGATCTAAATATAATTTGTACTCTTCCTGCTCTTTACAGAATCTATGTGGAAGATAACAACCACACTGGGGACAAAGTCATCTGATCTGACAATGGATGGGGGATTCTCATTTTCTCTTCTTGATCACATTTTCATTGCAAGTCTTAACAATGTTAGAAATTATATTACTGGTGTTTTCTTGGTGAAATATGTAATATGGCCAAAAGTTTGTAGACACCTGCTCATGCAACACTGCTTCTGGAATCAAGGGCATTCATTTGTTCCTGCTATCCTGCAGTAACAGATTGAACCTGAAGGCTTTACACGAGATGTTGGAACATTGCTTTGAGAATTTGACTGCATTCAGCTACAGTTCCATTAGTGAGGTCAGGTACTGATGTTGGATGATTAGCTCTGGATCACAGATGCCACTCTGACTCTTCCTGAAGGTATAATGAAGGTATATTCCCAAAATATAATGGATCTCCATCATTCCAGAAATCATAGCCTCACTGCTCCACACCCCAGTGCAGGGGAAATTTATACCCCTCTCACTAATGCTTGGCATTGGACATGGTGACTGTTTTAGTGCTCCATTCTATTGGCTGTTTTATTCCATTATACTATATAAAGCTAAGAGTGCTCAACTGAACACCTGTGGGTCCAATGGGTGGACCTTAAAGCAGGTGAATTCATTAACTAGAAGAGGTGTCTGCATACTTTTGGACATATAGTGTACACAGCCAATTCCTCATAAACTTATTATTTTATTTTACAGATTATAGTTTGATTCGCTGTGATTAATCATATATTCACAAGTAGTCATTTACACTCATTCAATCACTTATTCAATAATATACATGGAATACGTTTTCAGTAGTTTGTGATTAAGGGATTTTGAGATGTTCTTTTTTCCATACATAAATTGCAAATGAAAGTGTCCTTTTATCTGTTTTATCTGTGCTCCAAAAGTGGTATGTTCATTTGGTAAATAAATGCTGTTGTTTTTAAGCCGTCATCTGAAAGACTGAGTTAATTTAAGAGAGTTCATTTTGAGGTCTAAGTAGTCAAGTTTAGTTTGGCTCAGATCAAGTGAGGAGGAATTTGACCAAAAGCATTGCTAGGCTGCCTCATGGCTTTGCCACCTGAGAGGGTTAATGTGGGATAACAGAGATGTACAAAAGGGAACACTCAGGTATTTTATCTTCAGACCCACTAAGAGTCTGCTATGACTGTTTTTTCTGTTTAAGCAGTTATTTTTTGAGCATTTAACCAATGATTGTCTAGTGATGTATTTGTTTTTGTCTGGAGTTCTTTGAAATAAATCCGACAAAAGGCATTCTTGGACTGTTCAATTATTTATGGCCCAACATAAGATTCTTATGTATGTGTCTAACAGTACTGGAGAGGTGACTGTGACGTACCTCTGTTTTAAGAATCTGGAAACACTGTACGAAGACTGATACGTGTTGGTGTAATGCTTAACATCTTTTCTCCTCTTTGACCTGAAGTTGGTCAGCAGATAAAATAGTTCACAACAGGAGCCAGAATATGTTGGAGGTGGATGGTTCCATGTTCAATATCTGGGGGGGGGTAAGAATGTCGAGCTAGAGCTGGAGGGCTTACCTAACAATACATTGAAGAAGGTGAGGATGAAGCAGCATCATTCATTTACATTCTATCTGGCTTATCGCACCTTTCAATCATTAGTATTTTTGTGTGAATTATTAAAGGTATTTAGTTCATAGTAATGCATGTTTTACAAAGACATTGTCACAGGGCAGCTTCACAGAATTCAGGTTTCAAAGCACTAAAAAGCAAACCAAGCACTGCAGCAGGGAGGAATTAGATTGAACCTCAAAAGGAGTTGAGATCCATACTGGGAAAGCATCCTGCTCTAGATGGCACCACATAGTGAAGTTACAGACATTTATGAAGCTCCACACTGATCTCCATACATGATGTGACATGCTCATTGCTGTTACCAAGTGGAGATCTAAGTTTATATACATAAATAAAACAATATAGTGAATCCGAAGTGAATGAAATAAGCATTTACCTGTATTTGACAATGTGTATTAAAATAAGAGAAAGCATCACTGTATGCAGATGTTAATAGAGTTCATGTTTGGTAATTTTTTTATGGCTTTCTATTAAAACACTGAATTAGTTTACATTGTAGTAGGGGTGGGCAATATGGCAATATTTTACTGTTATCATGAAAAATCATGTCACAATATGCTTATCTGAGCATACTGTGGATATCATCAGTACTGAAAGCACACTGACTACATGTTTCATCACAAAGTGGGCATGAATAGGCCTGTTTAATTGGATTTAGGACAGTGCAGTTTAGGAGACACTGAATTAAAATCATTGTAGTATATATGTGTGTGTGTGTGTGTGTGTGTGTGTGTGTGTGTGTGTGTGTGTGTGTGTATTATGTGTTCTACTATTTTGAGACAGTTATGTGTGTAAATATTCAAATGCTGAGAATCTTATTTAAAAAAAAATGTAGAATTAAGTTACCCTTTATAAATGAAGCACAGGTGTGTTGAAAGTCAACAGGCCATGCTACACACTATTTAAAAAAAAACTGTTGATTTCCTTTACATGATCTAATGTGTGACGTAGTGTGTGATATTAACTGCATTAACACATTGAAATGCTAACAACAGATGATAAGTCAGCCAATTAAGTCTTTTAACAGTGAGTTTCAGAGTCATCTGGTTTTTATGTTGGGGTTTTAAAGTATACTGTTTATTCAAAGGGGTTGGCGGAAATCCAGAGATGGTAGCAAAGAGCTGAGAATGAGAAGAAAATCCCTTATATTTATAGTTTGTGTGCTTGACATTTTTAATCAATGATTTACAGTAATCGATATGTGAGCATCAAATACAGAGGAAAATACATTATGTATGGGCCTTAGAAAAGTATTATTTCTAGTAAACAAAGTAGGATGAACTATATTACTCCCTGTACTCACTGAAAGGAGATTTTTTTTGTCCATATAAAACTGCAGGGCATCAGTACTGTTTCTTGATGATGCCATTATACAAGATAAATATACAGAATTAATAAGACGACACTGTGAAGACAAGCGCTATAAGAGAGTAAAGACTTTTCAATAGAATACTGGTAGACATCGTGAGCTACATTCAAAGAAACTTCGCAAACGTCAGCTTAGTTGATTAATGTTAAGCTACTTATTTGAAGTTAGCAATATTAGTTTATTAATATGTTATTATTTATGACAGAGCATTACTGATCAATAATTTCTATTAATTTTTTACTAGAAAGATATAAACCATCTAGCTAACGTCAGAAGGGTGCAAGCACACAAGCCGACTCAATACCACAGCCACGAACCTACCTTGACCAATTGGCATAAAGCTGCTTAAGAAAAGATGCCATGATTGGTGCGCTGACAGGAACCGCCCCTCGGCAGCTCTGATTGGCTGGAGTTTTGACACAAACAGTCAGACATTTTACAGCGGGCAGACGTGAAAGTTGAGCGCGCGCTGTGGAGCTTTGTGGTGTTGTGTTGAGCAGATCCGAAGGTGTTTATCTGCGCACTTCGTGCTGACAAGTGCGTTCAAGTTCATTAGCTGCGCGCTTAGAGCACCGCTGTCCTCTCAAACCGTGACATTCCTCTCTCAAACATCAGGATCTTCTCTCAAACATTTTGGCACAAGAGTAACTCCATACGAATCTACTCGGCATCTTCTCGCTCGGATGTAGCTTTAATGAAAGCAGTTCGCGTCTCTTATCTAACATATGTTGCGTGATCTTGGAGAGAACTGAAAGCAGAACACTGCACTGAACTGAACACAGTTCTGTTCGGGAGCCGCTTCCAGAGCAACAAAAGGAACTTTTATATTAAAAAGGAAAAAGGACAGTTTGGAGTTTTTGAGAACAGCTGAACTAAACGCAGCGGCTCATCCTCATCACTGAGTTCTTCAAGAAAGTAAGAGCTTTTTAACCTTCAAATAAACAGTAGATCTTCAGTGAATATGGCTTATTTATCATTCTAATGTAATCTTGTCTTTTATGTTAGGAGGAGGACTAAGTAATCCAAAAAATGCTTATTTTTATGTGAATATTTGAAAGGTTTTCAGATGCAGATGAGATATGGAAAGTAAATAAACCCCATCTGGAATTCCCCGTTTAAAGTGAACATAACAGGGTCGTCACCTCAGCTGAGGTGTAGAGTTTAATATGTTACTAGTTTAATCCTGAGCGAGTCGCGTCTCTTAAACTCAGCTGTTATCAAAGCTGCGGTTTAAAGTGAATTTTAAACTAAACGCGGTTGCTGTCATTTGGAATCACATATCTGCTACTAGATCTCTCTGGACATGAGCTTAAAGGGGAGTTCCACCAATCTGATGTGGATGCGCCGTCATAGAGAAACTTACCAAGTCAGGACTGTTCACAGTGTTGGTAATAGGAACCAGACATCTGAAGAGCCTCTAAAAGCTACATCACAGAAAGTTATTAAACTCTGTTAACTATTACCAGGATTTCTCAGTAAAATGCTGTATTCATCACTTTATTGTGAAATCAACTCATCTTAACACATTTACTGTAATAAGATAGCAAAATACTATGAGGCTGATGTTGAGCTTTACCACACAACATTGGGGGATATTAAAAATGCATTCTAATAAAACATTGGTAAGTTTTACAATATATAGTGTTTTACCACAAATATTAGCACACCTGGTAAGCATGAGCAAAACAGACTGTAAAAATCTTTATTTCTTATCCTTTTGATATTTCATTCTAAATATGAACAAAAATCTAACCTTTACTTGAATTACAATTATTGAAGAGAAAACGGAATATTATCAGGAAATAAATATTTTTCTCAAATCAGTGTATGACACAGTTGTTGGCAATCCTTCATTTAATACTTTGTGCAGCCTCATTTTGTAAAGATAACAGTTCTGAGTCTTCTCTTATAATGCTTAATGAGACTGGAGAACACATAACAAAGGATCTGAGACCATTCCTCCATACAGAACCTCTCTAGATCCTTCAGATTCTGAGCTCTACACTGTGGACTCTCCTCTTCAGCTCATCTCACAGCTTTTCTATGAGGTTTAGGTCAGGGTATTGAGGTGGCCGTGGCAAAACCCTGATTATGTGGTCAGTGAACTGTTTTTGTGTTGATTTTGAGGCGTGTTTTGGATCATTGTTCTGCTGGAAGATCCAAACTATGGACC